CCTATAGCAATAACATGGAGGGCAAGAACTTCTATAGCAATAACATGGAGGGCAAGAACTTCTATAGCAATAACATGGAGGGGCAAGAACTCCTATAGCAATAACATGGAGGGGCAAGAACTACTATAGCAATAACATGGAGGGCAAGAACTTCTATAGCAATAACATGGAGGGCAAGAACTTCTATAGCAATAACATGGAGGGCAAGAACTACTATAGCAATAACATGGAGGAGCAAGAACTCCTACAGCAATAACATGGAGGGCAAGAACTCCTATAGCAATAACATGGAGGGCAAGATGTGATACTGACGTTATTTAACGTGAGAAATGATGTGATGTGGAATCATAGTATTTTAAAAATAAATATATTTTGAAAGTCATGATTATTGAAAATCATGATCTTGAAATCTTGATATTTTATGAATTTGAATTGTCATGTAAATTCGCTGAATATTTTGTACCCATTACATGAGGATGAGGGGGGATGGGTGGTGAGGGGATGTGTTTTGAGAGGTTCACCATTCACATCCACTCTAATCTTCCCAATTCCCCTCTGCCTTTTAACTGATCCACTACTTTCACTTCCCCTCACCCTATATTCTGCCTCAGGAATACTTTTTTTATTCCTCAACCCCTCGTCCCCCCCCCGCCATCAGCCTCCCCCAGCATCGTTTTATCTTATGGACACAAAGCTTCTGCAGATCATCAATCCTGCGATCCCTGAGCCGGGGCTGGGGGAGAGGTATGGCCCAGTGTAGGATGGGGGCAGTGGGGCTGGGGGAGAGGTATGGCCCAGTGTAGGGTCTGTCTCTTATACACATCTAGATGTGTATAAGAGACAGGTAGTGAGAGACTCTGTCTCTCGCACCCAGCTCCCGGGTTCGAGTCCCACTGAGGACAAGTTCTTCCGGGAAGCTCAGCTCATGGTCAACTCAGCCATTCATCCAACTCTGGTTAATAAATGAGTACCTGGCTTGTCCAGGGTGTTGTGTAATGCAATCAAATGGTTAGTGCCCAGGAAAAACTGACCAGTGGCATTAGTGCCCAGAAAAACTGACCAGTGGCATTAGTACCCAGGAAAAACTGACCAGTGGCATTAATTAGTGCACGGAAAAACTGACCAGTGGCATTAGTGCCAGGAAAAACTGACCAGTGGCATTAGTGCCCGGAAAAACTGACCAGTGGCATTAGTGCACGGAAAAACTGACCAGTGGCATTAGTGCACGGAAAAACTGACCAGTGGCATTAGTGCCCAGAAAAACTGACCAGTGGCATTAGTGCACGGAAAAACTGACCTATCACCCGCCTTTTCCTAGTCGCCACTACCAGGAAGGGCAATTACAACAACAACAGAAAGAAGGAGAGGAAACTCTTGCGATTGCGGAGATATGATATAGGTCATATACAGAAATATACATTTTCATAGTTTTCTTTACAAATGCTATTATTTCCTTGCTGTTCTATACGTTAGAATAACCCTATGACCATGCAATATGTATACTTTATGTCTTTATGTTATCTCATTATGCATTGTTTAGTCATGCGACATCAGCATGACTAGCATCTGTCGATTACATGTTGACATTTCGTTCATTCATGCACCAATCACCCATAGCTCCAAAAAACAAGCCTTTTGATTCTACGTTTTGGTGAGGCTCGCACCCACACATCACTTGCTTCTCCGCTGAGCTACTAAAGTTCATACTCACAAACTCGTGACGATATTTTAGCCTACTTATTGAATTATTGATTCCGTGCCCTCACGTGGGCTGGATAAGAGGGCTAGGTCCTCTTATCCTGCTGCTCTTTACCCTCATGTGGCGAGGGCTAAGGC